AGGCATATGCAACTTGAAAAATTATATATATAGCTGAACCAAAAGGAACATTAAAAAATACACTTTGTTGAGAGTGTAGTATGTCATATTTGTTCTGCAAGGGACAAAAGGAAAATTAATAGGCAAGTAACACATTTCAGAGGTGTTTCATTGGCTCCCAAAACGCGTTGGTTGCCTGTTGCTTGTTATGTTATCTCTTGCAGAACAAATAAAATACCTTTGGACTCCCAACTCAGCAATATATAGACATTAATAAATATGTCATCAAAATTCAAAACCATTTATATTGTATTATTTTATGTAGCAGGCCTTTTTTTACATCATTACTAATGGCATTCAGAAACAGAAGAGAATCATCAAGCTGCCTTTTACTAGTGTATCTATGTGTAATATGTGAATCTAAATATATAAACTACGTAGGAAGTATCTTTAATTACATGTTATTATACATCAATAAATAATGGTTGATGTGATATTTTAATGTGATGATGAATGTACATAAATAGCCAGGGGTGTATATGTTCATGTAGAGTTCAGGAGCTAGTCAGTGCTATCCAGGAATTACTAGGTAGTTTTATGTGGTTTCAAATCACAAAAATTATAAGGCTATAAAAAATGTTAATGGCTAGATGGTCTTTTTTAGGCTTAATGTCTGCTTTCCCCCAGGGATTTGTGTAGCTGTATATTGGATGTATTTATTAGCACAGTGCAAAGAGCACCAGGGTAGCTTCTGCAGTAACCACAGATGACGGGTGTTAATCATCTGATTTGAATGACTTTTGGACAGATTTATGAAACCAGATTTCTACTGGTCACTTTGGGCTGATTTACTAAAACTGGAGTGTGCAAAATCTGGTGCAGCTCTTCACAGAAACCAATCAACTTCCAGGTTTTATTGTCACAGCTTAATTGAACAAGCTGATGTAAGAAGCTGATTGGCTACCATGGACAACTGCACCAGATTCAGAGTGCTCCAGTTTTAGTAAATACCCCCAGTATGTTAAGGTGTATCCACACTAGGGTGCCTGAGCATGTTTGCCCCCCAAAGTCCAGTGTTTGACTAGTGTGATCGCTCTATACCATTCTCGATATAGAAATTGATTTTTTTTAAAGATGGACACTCCAGGGCTGTCATCCTTGTTCTTGCTTCACTAACTGGTGAGTTGTTGACCTGAAACAAGCATGTGCATATCATTTGTCAGTGTATGTGCCCACTACAGGTCTAAACTCACTAATTAGTGTAGGCCAAGGGCAACTTTGCTAGCACCAAAGCATGCAACTTTAAAAAACACGTCAGCTATATCAGCCTCTTCTTTCATGTCAGGTTTGAATAAACCAGTATGTGTGTGTTTATTATTTGCAGGTGTAAAGCTGGCCATGGTCTGTGATATTTCTGCCATTCAGCCCTTCAGCACTAAACAACCTGGAAGGAGGCACTGTCGGCTATTGTATTCTGACAGCTAGCACCTCTGGATGTTGAAATACCCAAACAGTGGCTGCAACTGATTGGATGCAACCAGTGTTTGGCTGATAAATTTCTACTTGGCTCCTTCAATTTTTTGTTTGAAGGAAGTCAGGCGGGAGGGTGATAACAGGGCCACCCATGGCTTTAATTTTGTCCCCTGCTGAACTTTGCTCTGTGTATGGCCAGCTTAAAGGATACTTTCACTTTTGGAAGATGTAACAAGTTAAAGCTCCTACCTCCTCTGTGACAGGGAGCAAGGGATCTTATCCCGCACCTACTGACACAGTTTAAATACGGCGCGGCCATGTGGGGCTCCGCCCATATGGCTGTTTAGTTCATTCACAGAGTTCTGTGAATTAATGAACTATCACTACCATCAGCCTCCACGCCAGACGGCTTGGAGTTCTCAATGAACTGCTAGGGTGCTGGTGAGCATTCATAGTTCATTGATTCTTCCTGCCATTCAGTAACCGCCTGCCTATATGAGATACAGGCGTACAGCTGATTCAATGCCTGCAGGATCCTGGCATTGCATCTGCGATCTGCTGATCACATTTGCAATGCTTTACAGGCTGCAATGTAAAAAAAAAAAAAAAAACTGCAAAAAGACACACTTTCATTATGCATTGTAAAAGGTGAACTTATCCTTTAGACCTGGTTCACGCTCATACGAATCCTGTGCGGTTCCTGCATCGCATTGCAATCGATTGGCGTTCTTGCAATCTGGTGCGGATGTCATTGTTAAATTAATGACACCCCGAAACAGATCACAAAATGCAGTGCGATTGCCAGAAATTGCATCGCATGGGCGAGAACAATGCGGTTCAGGTGTGGGTAAAAAAAAGGTCTTGCGCTTTTTGATACGGATGCGATTTGAGCCATTCAAAATGTATGGCTAAAATCGCACCGCACAGACATCTAATGCAGTTCGCACAGCAATCGCACTGTATTCCTGTGCGAATTACACGTGGTGTCCCGCACCGCATTAGTGTGCACCCGGTCTTAAGGAAACATGCTATTTCTGTGGCCAGCACAGTGGCTAAATGGTTAGCACTTTCACCTAGCAGTACTAGGGTCCCAGCCATGGCACCTCCTGCCTGGGGTTTGCATGTTCTCTGTGCCTGCGTGGGTTTCCTCCCACACTCCAAAGACATGCTGGTAGGTTAATTGAATCCTGTCTAAATTGGCCCTAGTATGTGTATGTATGAATGTAAGTTAGGGATCTTAGATTGTACACCCCTTGAGGGTTAGGGACTGATATGAATGCATAATATATATGTAAAGTGCGGCATAAATTGACGGTGCTATATAAAGTACCTTAAATAAATAATAATAAATAAATTTCTAGAAGGCAACAGTAAAAGCAGTGGAGCAATTAATCACATGTAATCTGACTATGGTGCTGTAATAAATTGACTATAGTAAGTGGATTGGTTGCTATATTATTATTATTATACAGGATTTATATATAGCGCCAAGAGTTTGCTCAGCACTTTACAATATAACGGGAGACAATACAGCAACAACACAGTTCAATACAAGAGGGTTAGGAGGGCCCTATAGGTTGTTGCACTTCATCAATATTGTTTGCTTTGCCGTTTGGTGTTTTGGTACAATAGTATCATTTTATTTTGTGTTTGCCCAAGCATTGTATGAAAACATTGAATTTCTATTGCCATTTGTTTTGCATCGTGTAATATAATTGATGACAGTCAGTGAATTCTTGTACATTTTATGTTCTCATGAGTACAGAACAATGTCAGGTCCCTTGGTATGAGCATGTATGCCTGATGGTACAGCCTCTGTACAAGTACTTATTTTGGTCAATACACAGAGAATGAACACTGCCTTTATATTAGGCTTCCTATTGATGCTTTGTATCTACACACTGATAATCAGCATGCAGTATTGTTTACTGATACTGAACATGTGGTATTGTTTACTGATGCCGAACATAATGAGCTGACTGTTTTGAGCAACTGTGCTGAGTTTCATCATAAATCTAATTACTACAATCTGTATTGTATATTGATGAGGAGTTGTTGCACACTGAACATGCTTTGTGTTTAAATCATTTGCACTCATCTGCGGTTTAATAGTTTATACACCATGACACATATGTATGGCTTGACTAGTAAAGTAACAGTGTAGTAGGAGTGAAGATTTCATTGCATTTGTAGAAAGATCATTAAAAGTTAAATAGAACTTTGTATAGGATTTTGTAGATCGCACCATATTTTCTGTGCAACAAACGTTGGCAAAACGCAACGCCGCTGTATTTCTAAATACATAATATGACACGTGAGGCTAGATCTGAAATAAGCAAATGCTTGAGGAGGCACTGCTATTTCAGCTGTGTTTCCTCCTGGTGGGCGGTAGGGTGAAAACGGTCAGTTGGGGGTGTGTTCCATCATGGAGGATGTCATTGCTGAGCGGCTCAGCCTGATGTCAGTATCTGTGTTCGTGGGGTGATGCAGTCACTAGCAGGCTCAGCCTTTCACTACAGATAAAAGGCTTATTGATTATGGCATTGCAAGGAGCATTGAGGATTTGTTAATTGCTGTATTAACCCATAACAGCCAAACAGATTCATTGTACTGGACAGATTAGGGAAAAGTTCATTCTGATTCTCTGCTAATGAGTTACTGCACTTTGCTCATTGCCATTTAAAGTGCATTTACCAATGGATAGTATTTGACGCAAAAATACTGTATTTGTTAAATAAAAAAATCTTAGTGAACAGTACAATTAGTCGTCCACAGCACTATGTTGGTAGAGGCTTGAGCAGAGGAACTCTCTCTTTACAGTATAATATAGGAAGTGGTTTGGTTGACTGCACCCTGTGCGTCGTCATAGGCTTTGCAACACGTTACAGATACTTAAGGAAGCCTGTTCCCCTGAAATACAGGGGATGTCATTTACAACCTTCTTCTAGAAATGTTAGTTCTCTGGCTCTCTCTGCTCTCAATACTTCTGAGAACAAGCATGCCACAAAGTTATATAGTCAGGTTGAAAAAAAGTCTCAAGTCTGTACAGTTCAGCCAGTAGAAAATAAAAAAGAAATACAGAAAAACCTGTAAAGCATAGTCTAACTTACTCCAATGGGGGAAAGAAAATCCCCCCCCTTATCCCCTGAAGACAATCAGATATTCCCTGGATTCCCTGGATCAACAATCTCTGGTGTTAATATCCAGTTATATTTTGTGCATTTAGGAATGCATTCAGCTCTTTTTTTTTTAAACAATCTATTGACCTGGCTAGAGCGGGGTCAGCAATCCGTCGGTCCTAGCAACCAATTACCAGCTTGTTAATATGCAAAGTAAAGTTGGCCAGTTCCTCCTCCCTCTTTCCTGAGCCACGCTGTCTTCCGCTCTCCGCTGTGCACTGAGGATTAAAGCAGCAGTGGAGGAGGCTGGGGGAAAGGGGGCAGGAGACATTGCTGGGGGGGAAAAAGGGGGCCAGAGGTCACTGCTATGGGGGAAAGGGGGGCAGAGGGGTCACTGCTATGGGAGAAAGGGGGGGCAGAGCACACTACAGGGGGAGAGGTGGTGTGCAGAGCAGGGGTGGACTGACAACTCATGGGGCCCCCGGCCAATAGGGGATCATGGGGCCCCTGTGTCCTTGCCCACACTCAAAAAAGCCTATAAAAAAGATACCAGGGGCATTTCATGGGGCCCCCTACTGACCCCGGGCCCTCGGGCAGTGCCCGAGTGCTCGAATGGCAGTCCGCCCCTGGTGCAGAGGACACTGCTATGGACAGGGCCACCCCCATAACAGTGTCCTCTACCACCCTTCACGTTATGCCACCTCACAGTAGTGTCCTCTGTCCCCCTTCTCCACCTCAGCAATGTCCTCTGCCCCCCTTTCCCCCATAGCAGTGACCTATAACCCCCCCCCCCCACACACACCAGCAGTGTCCTCTTCCCTTCCCTCCCATGGACGGGTATTTTAAAAATCTGAATTCCCAGAAAGTGGTATGCTTAGGCAGCCGCCTTAGGGCATCAGGGTAGCTGGGGGGCAGAAAAATCCCAATCCCCAGCGACTTGCTGGGAATTCAGATTTTTAAAATACCTGCCTTCTGACAAACCAATTTATTGACCTCCTGGAGCAGCTAAAAAATTAGCATCTCCTCCTCGCATACAGCTGCTGCAGGAGGTAAATCCAGGGGATCAGTTCTAGTAAATTCCTCCTCCGCTGCCCCTCCCATGCTTGTTCCTCCTTTTTTTCACTGCCTGGCCTCTCCCCCAAGTGCTCCCCTTTCAAAAACAAATTGTGAAAAATATAAAAAGATAAAAATGTAAAAATAAATACTTCTGACACCATCCACTGCCCTACTGATACCAACCTCTGCCCTACTGACACTGTCCACTGCTCTACTGACACTGTCCACTGCTCTACTGACACCATCCACTGCTCTACTGACTACCACCAACCTCTGCCAAACTGACACCATCCATTGCCCTGCTGACTGACCCCATCCACTGCTCTACTGACAACAACCTCTGCACTACTGACACTATCCACTGTCCTACTGACTGACACTGTCCATTTTTAAGGTAGGCTATGTTTGTATTTTTACAGTGACATTTGTTTTATTATATTTTTAGGCCTTGCTAGTTAATTTTTTTTTAATAGCACTGAACCCCAGTGATCTTTGATCTCTTTCATGTTGTTCAGGTAGATCTCCTCCTCTCAAAGGTTGCCTACCCATGGGCCAGAGCATATCAACTAAGCTAGCCAGAACACATCTAGTTAGCTAGCCAGAACACATCTAGTTAGCTAGCCAGAAGATATCTACTGAGCTAGCAAGAACATATCTACTGAGATGACCAGAGCATATCCACTGAGGTGGCCAGAACATATCTACTGAGATGACCAGAGCATATCTACTGAGGTGACCAGAACATATCTACTGAGCTACCCAGAGCTTATCTACTGAGATGGCCAGAACATATCTACTGAGCTGGCCATAATGTAGTTACTGAGCTGGCCAAAACATATCTGCTGAGTTAGCCAGAACATATCTACTGAGTTGGCTAGAACATATCTGCTTAGATACCAAGAACATATATACTAAACTGGCCAGAACATATCTACTGAGTTGGCCAGAACATTTTGTACCTACTGATCTTTCCAGAACATATCTGCTGAGCTAGCAAGAACATATCTATGGCACTGACCGGAACATATTTATTGAACTGGCCAAAACATATCTACTGAGCTGGCCAGAACATATCTACTGAGCTAACCAGAACATATCTACTGAGCTGACCAGAACATATCTACAGATCTGCCCAAAACATACCTACTGACCTGGCCAGAACATATCTACTGAGCTTGCCAGAACATATCTACTGAGCTAGCCAGGACATAACTACTAAGCTGGCCATAACCTAGCTACTGAACTAGCCAAAATGTATCTACTGAGTTAACCAGGACATATGTACTGAGCTGGCCAGAACACATCAACTGAGCTGGCCAGAACATATCTACTGAGCTATCTACTGTGGAACATATCTACTGACAAATTGCATCCAGGGATGGTTGTCTGTCCCTAACTGCAGGTAACCACTGAATGTGCAGATTCATGTGAAGATCGTTGGATATCTGTGGCTCTTGTCAGCCTGTCCTTGCTTTGTACAGACTTCTTGGTCGCATCTGTGTAGAAAGACCTGTGTTTCCAGCTGCAATCATTTTCAGATTCTTGCCACAGGAGTCCACTACCAAACCTAAAATTGCCAGTGTGAGAGAGGTCTTGCTGAAACACTAGGACCACTTTCATACTAATACAATGGCTTTTACCGTGTTTTGCGATACGTTCTCTTAAAGGACATGTGACTCAAAAAGTGCACCAAAAACGCAACGCAGGTGGCTTTTAATGTGTTTTTGATGCAGTTTTGGAGTGTTTTTCATTGATTTAAATGGGGAGGTGTGTTTTTGGTGTGGGATTTCTTACAGCACCAAACCTGCAACAAAAATGCAGCAAACAAAACTTTGAAAAACGCACTGAAACCAAAACAGATCAGTCTGAAGAGTTCCATAGGAATAAATGGTCACACGTTTTTCTCCCACACTTTTAGCGCAAAAGTGGAAGAAAAATGGATCAATGTGAAAGCAGCCTAGCAATACACATCTCTTATTTGTTCCCTTTTTTTTTGGTAAATGTATTATTTTATTTATTACAGGTACTTATATAGTGCCATCAATTTACGCAGCGCTTTACATATATATATTGTACATTCACATTAGTCCGTAACCCTCAAGGGGTGTACAATCTAAGGTCCCTAGCTTACATTCATACATACACATACTAGGGCCAATTTAGACAGGATTCAATTAACCTACCAGCATGTCTTTGGAGTGTGGGAGGAAACCCACGCAGGCACAGGGAGAACATGCAAACCCCAGGCAGGAGGTGCCATGGCTGGGACCCTAGTACTGCTAGGTGAAAGTGCTAACCATTTAGCCACTGTGCTGGCCACAGAAATAGCATGTTTCCTTAAGACCGGGTGCACACTAATGCGGTGCGGGACACCACGTGTAATTCGCACAGGAATACTGTGCAATTTAGACAGGATCCAATTAACCTATTAGCATGTCTTTGGAGTGTGAGAGGAACCCCACACAGGCACAGGGAGAACATGTAAACTCCAGGCAGGTGGTGCCATGGATGGGATTCAAACCAATGACCCTATTACTGCCAGGCAGAAGTGCTAACCATTTAGCCACTGTGTGTATTATTGAATGTTTTGTTCTATGTGTTTGATAAATACAAAAAATACCTTTTGATTCTGCCAGAAATCCTGCCTTGTGAGCTAATTATTTGCTGTGTTCTCTGCCAATGCTGCAGTTTCATCAGTTACTCTCAGCACTCTCTCTCAGTGGACTACAGAACCCCCCTCATGTTATGGAGAAGAGAAGGAAGTGTGTTCTTTTATCCTGTCCTAGGGTGAAAATGCGGTTCCTCTTTAGATACAGTATAGTGAGGGAATGTCACATTAGAACAGGAAGTGAGATATTATCAGGTGAAAAAAAACTGCCTGATAAAAATGAAAACTAATGCAGTCACCACATTTAAGGAGTGGATTAAGTTGCAATATGTACATTTTTCTTCTTGTGTGTAGATAAACTTGTAGTCAGAACTCTAGCTCTGCCTATTTGTTCTATATCATTGACATAGAAAGTATTGCAGCCAGATGTGGAAGATGTGCAGTGGAATAATGTCCTTACAGGATGTCTTCAACTTACAAGCCGACCTCAATGCACTGTTTAATTGGGCAACTTTGCGGCAAATGAAGTTTAATGTTGATAAATGTAAGGTTATGCACTTGGGGGCTAAGAATATGCATGCATCATACATACTAGGGGGAGTACAACTGGGGGAATCAATGGTGGGAAGGATCTGGGGGTTCTGGTAGATCACAAGCATAATAATGGCATGTAATTGCCAAGCTGAGGTTTCTACAGTGAGCAAAATCATCTCTTGTATTAAAAGAGGTATAGACTCCAGAGAGAGAGATATCATTTTACCCCTGTACAAATAATTAGTAAGACCGCATCTGGAATATGCAGTTTAGTTTTGGGCACCAATTCACAAAAAGAACATTGGGGAACTGGAGAAGGTACAGAGAAGAGCAACCAAACTGATAAGAGGCATGGAGGAGCTCAGCTATGAGGAAAGATTAGAGGAACTGAATTTATTCTCTCTTGAGAAGAGGAGATTAAGGGGGGGGATATGATCAACATGTATAAATACATCAGTGGTTCATATAGTGAACTCGGTGTAGAGCTATTCACCCTGAGTTCATCACAGAGGACAAGGGGGCACTCTTTACATCTGGAGGAAAACAGATGTAATCTCCAAACACAGAAAGGTTTCTTCACTGTCAGAGCTGTGAAAATGTGGAATAGACTCCCTCAAGAGTTGGTTCTGGCCAGCTCAGTGGATTGCTTTAAAAAAGGTCTGGATTCTTTCTTAGATACACAGAATATAACTGGATACTAACATTTATAGGTAAAGTTGATCCAGGGAATATCTGATTGCCTCTCGGGGGGTCAGGAAGGAATTTTTTTCCCCTGCAGGAGCAAATGGGGTCATGCTTTGTTGGTTTTTTTTTTGCTTTCCTCTGGATCAACTGTGGGTATAGGATTATAACTTTTTTTTTTTTAATGGTTGAACTGGATGGACTTTTCTTTTTTTCAACCAGAAAAAAAGGTAACTATGTAACTATGTCTGCATGAGTGCCAGGAAAATAGCAGGTTCAGAGGATAACCATGACAGCTTTCCTATTTGTCTCATGCTGGTATTTTTTAATGGTTAACCTCACCAGAAATGTAAAGTGGAACTCGCATCTAAAAAACAATGTCATCTTTTTAAATGTCCCCCTTGTTTTTTTATGCAAATTCTACTTTACATTTCTGGTGAGGATAAGCATTAAGGTGACATTCCACTTTTACTGACTTTTATAAATAGACCTTGTGGAAAAATGCTGCAGTCATTTTCTTTAGCTTCTGTAGCATAGTTCATATAGCTATGACCAGGGAGTCTCACTTAGATCGTTGAATTTATTCATTTGTTTCACAATATAGATTGCAGGTGAAGGACTGGCAGTTCCTTTGATTTATGAAGAGCTAGCGGTCTGTGATTCAGCTTACCTGTAGCAGAAAAGTAGACTTTGTGCATCTCTCTGAAAATACATTCCATGTTTTTTCTTTGTTTACACCTTTTTAATGCT